GAGGCGGGGGGGGGGGGGTGCCTCTCGGGGCAGAGTGGGGGGTTTGGAAGGAGGGAGCTCTGCTTCCCTCCCTGTGCACCCACCCAGTTGCATTTTCCTTTTCGCCCAGGAGCGCGGGGTGCCTTGCACGGCTCTCCTCCTTTCCACGTTATCTTCACAACACCCTCGTGAGGTGGGCTGCAAGGGAGGAGCTAGCCCAAGGCTCCCCACCCCACCCCACCCGCGCTGAAGCAATATTGGAAACCCGGTTCTCTGTCACGCTCTGGCTCTGAACGGCGCTTTAAGGCGTCTTGAAGGAGGGGTGTGTGTCTTTGCATGGGATCTTTTCTATGCAGTTGTTGGTGCAAAGGACAGGAACACTTTTGCTAGCGTTGCCAGCCTCCAGGGGGGCACTGGAGACCTCCAGGTATTGCAACTGATCTCCACTCGGGCAGAGATCAGTTCCCCTGGAGACAGAGGATGCTTTTTCATTGTACCCCACTCTGTGGCGTTGTACCCCAGTGGAGTGGGCGTTGCACCCTTCTAAGACGTTGTACCCCACTGAAGTCCCTACCTTCCCTGGATCCCAGCCTGCACTCCCCCCAAATCACCAGGTATTTCCGAACTCAGAGCCGGCAACCCTAATATTTGCCCCATAGAGCTGCTCTTTGGCCATTCGTCCTGTGTGGAAAGGTATCTTCCAAACCTCCAGGAAGAAGTCCCCGAGTACAAGTTTTCATTGCCTTGAGGAGCCAGATTTATATCTCAACCTTTGGGTTTTTATGTTTTAATGACTGTACTTTCTAATGACTGCTGCCGTAAAACCTAATCTTCACGGTTGTCATTATCTCTTGAAGCTGTAGTAAAAGTGTTGTAGTGTATAAATATATATGAGTGATGGTTGTCATGACGACAAAACGTTAACTTCCATCCCTCACCTAAATACGCTTTATACTTCTACTGAGAATCACCAAGAGGCACTTAGATGTGAGAAGGGCCATGGGTCAGTGGTAGAGCCTCTGCTTGGCATGCAGAAGGTCCCAGGTTCAATCCCCGGCATGTCCAGCTAAAAAGGACCAGGTCGTAGGTGATGGGAAAGACCTCTGCCTGAGACCCTGGAAAGCCGCTGCTGGTCTGAGTAGACAAGACTGACTTTGATAGACCCAAGGTCTGATCCCGTATCAGGCAGCTTCATGTATTCACTTACAAGGGACAACTGATGAAATTTCTAGAATCACACAGAGTTGGAAGGGGATCCTGCAGGCCATCTAGTCCACCCCCCTGCTCAATGCGGGATCAGCCTAGAGCACCCCTGACAAGGGTTTGTCCAGCTGTTGCTTCAGGCAGCCGAGGCAACTGATTCCACTGTGTTTCCTAATTTCCATCTAAAGCTGCGGTGGCTCAAGTGGTTAAGACGCTGAACTGCAGGCTGTGGAAGGTCGGTAGTTCAGCAGTTCGAGACCCGAGTTGCCGCATGAGCTCCCGTCTCTAGTTCCAGCTCCTGCCAACCTAGCCGTTCGAAAGCAAGAAACTGCAAGTAGATAAATAGGGACCACTTTGGTGGGAAGGTCACAGCGTTCTGTGCGCCTTGGTGTTTAGTCATGCTGGCCACATGACCACGGAAACGTCTTTGGACAGCGCTGGCTCTTCGGCTTGGAAACAGAGATGAGCACTGCAACCCTAGAGTCGGACCCGACTGGCTTTCGAGCAGGGGAACCTTTACCTTTTTAATATCCATCTGGTACCTCCCCGCCCTTAATTTAAACCCGTTCTTGCGAGTCCTCTCCTCTGCTGCCAGCGGGAACAGCCCCCTGCCCTCCTCTGAGTGACAGCCCTTTACAGACTTCAAGAGAGCCGTCATCATGTCCCCCCTCAACCTCCATTTCTCCAGAGTAAAAAGTCCCAAGTCCCTCAGCCTTTCCTCATAGGGCTTCTTAGTCTCCCTGGCTCCAGGAATTTGTCCAGACACGTCCTATGAGGCTCGGCGGAGTTGTGTGTCTTTCCACACTGTAGGATACCATCTCTCTCTTTTCTTCCCTAGCTAGAGTAGTAGGAATCTTGGGGTTGAGCACCCTTGTACCAAATAAGGCCTTTGATCTGCCAGAGTTTATCCTGTCTTCTCTGATTGGCTGCAGGTCTTTCACATCTTCTATGACCTGACCCCATTCAGACTGAGGTTGGGGAAACCTGTAACATGTATTTATATAGAACTGGGTGGGGGGCGCCCCAGAAAGAGATGGGGGCTCTTCATGTGTCTCCATGACTGAAAACTGCCTACTCACTAGTAGTGTTGGCAGCCTTAAGTCCGGAACAACTGGTATGTTGACGCCACATTGAGGTTCGTCATAGCTGTGGTACGCATTGCATATCCGGTTGGCGTGAAAGTTTGGGTGAAGGTAGTTTGCAGTGGCAGTGCTGAATCGGGGGGGGGGCAGATTGGATGAAAGGACCAGGTAGAAGAAGAAGAAGAGATTGGATTTATACCCCGTTCTTCACTTGGAGTCTCAGGGTGGCTTTTAGTGTTGGATGTTTTATTACGTTTTATATGTTTTTACCTATAGCATGGTAAACGACCTTGCCCTTGTTAGCCACCCTGAGCCCACTGGGGAGGGCAGGATACAAATATGAAAATTAAAAAAATCTCTTTTCCCTTCCCCTCCCCACAACAGACACCCTGTGAGGTCGGTGGGACTGAGAGAGCTCTTGTGAGGACTGCCCTTGAGAGAACAGCTCTGGGAGAACTTGTGACTGACCCAAGGTCGCACCAGCAGCTGCACGTGGCGGCGTGGGGACTCAAACCTGGTTCTCCTGGGTGAGAGTCCACGCTCTTAACCGCTGCATCAAACTGGCTCTTGAGTCCTGAGTGATAACGTCTTCACTACGATAATTTGGAAACTCGCTCGAGGGATGCCATGTTTTTTGGGCTGTTTGCCTGCTTTCTCGAACTGATGGCTCGCGCGTCGTTTTTCTCCCCACCCAGGAAACGGGAGCCGAAGAGAAGGAGCCCCGCCCCGATTGCCCTCTGGACCGGGAAATGTTGGGGAGAAGCTCGTGGGCTTTCCTTCATACCATGGCGGCGTATTACCCCGACCGGCCGAGTAAAATCCAGCAGCAGGAGATGGTGCAGTTCATCCACTTGTTCTCCAAGGTTTTCCCTTGTGAGGAGTGTGCAGAAGATGTGAGAGAGAGGTGAGTGTGGCTGTCTTGAGCATACGATGTTGAAACGGCGCTGCGGCTCATCTCAAAATTCTGTAGCCAGGTAATTTGTTGTTAATATCTATATTTGTACCCTAGCTTTCTCCTCAAGGGGGGCCCGAGGCAGCTTCTCCTCTCCTCCATTTTATCTTCACAACAGTCCTGCGAGGTAGGTTAGGCTGAGAGTGTGTGACTGGCCCAGAGTGACCTATCCAGCTTCCATGACAGAACGGGTCATGCGAACTAAGCAACTGTCCATCTCATCTCTTGTTTTGAATACTTCTGCCATTTTACCCACCCATCCCATATTTCCGGTATTGCTGGGATAGGACCTAAGAAGAGCTCTGATGGATCAGACCAGTGGTTCATCTAGTCCTGTCGCACACTGTGGCCAACCAGTTCTTCTGGAGGGCCAACAACAGGGCATAGAGGGCGAGGCCTTCCTAAGAACATAAGAGTCTTGCTAGATCAGGCCATCTAGTCCAGCCTCCTTTCTCACACAGGAGCCAGCCAGTTCCTCTGGAGGGCCAACAATAGGGAAGAGAGGCCGAGGCCTTCCCCTGAGAAGAACCTCAGAAGAGCCCTGCTGGACCAGACCAGTGAGGGTCCATCTAGTCCAGCATCCCGTCTCACACAGTGGCCAACCACATCCTCTGGAGGACCAACAGCAGGTCAGAGGCCTTCTATTTTTAAGAACATCAGAAGACCCTGCTGGATCAGGGCACTGATCCATCTAGTCCAGCATCCCATCTCACACAGTGGCCAACCAGTTCCTCTGGAGGGCCCACCACAGGGCAGAGAGGCCGAGGCCTTCCCCTGAGAAGAACACCAGAAGAGCCCTGCTGGATCAGACCAGTGAGGGTCCATCTAATCCAGCATCCTGACTCACACAGGGGCCAACCAGCTCCTCTGGAGGGCCAACAACAGGGCAGAGAGGCCGAGGCCTTCCCCTGAGAAGAACACCAGAAGAGCCCTGCTGGATCACACCAGTGAGAGTCCCTCTAGTCCAGCCTCCTGTTTCACACAGGGGCCGACCAGTTCCTCTGGAGGGCCAACAACAGGGTATGGAGGCCGAGGCCTTCCCCTGATGTTGCCTCCTGGCTCTGGGATTCAGACGCCGACTGCCTCTGAATGTGGAGGTTCCCCTCAGTCACCATGGCCAATAGCCACCCATAGACCTGTCCTCCGTGAATCTATCTAATCCCCTTTTTAAAGCTGTTTATTCCTGTGGCCCTCACGAGCCTGATCTTGTGAGATCTCAGAAGCTAAGCCGGGTCAGCCCTGGTGAGTACTTGGACAGGAGACCCCCAAGGAAATCCGGGGTTGCTACGCAGAGTCAGGTAATGGCAGACCGCCTCTGAACATAACATCTCTTGCCTTGAAAAACCCATAAGGTCGCCATAAGTCAGCTGTGACTTGACAGCCCCCCCCCCAATAAAAAGTCGAGACAGAGAGCCGTGCAGATTTTTTACCCGTTGTATCCACTAGGGAGCAGAATTGCACCAGATGGAAACTTGGTATAAAGGTAAAGGTTCCCTTGCTCGAAAGCCGGTCGGATCCGACTCTAGGGTTGCGGTGCTCATCTCCGTTTCAAAGCCGAAGAGCCAGCGCTGTCCGAAGACGTCTCCGTGGTCATGTGGCCGGCATGACTAAACACCAAGGCGAACGGAACGCTGTTCCCTTCCCACCGAAGTGGTACCTATTTATCTACTTGCAATTTCTTGCTTTCAAACTGCTAGGTTGGCAGGAGCTGGAACTAGAGACGGGAGCTCACCCTGTCTTGCAGCACCCGGGTCTTGAACTGCTGAACTACTGACCTTCCACAGCCTGCAGTTCAGCGTCTTAACCACTTGAGCCACCGCAGCTCCAAACTTGGTATACGGCAGAGGAAATGATTGCACAGAACAAAACAGAATCCACCAAACGTGTCGGCATGGCTCCCTCCTACAAGTAAATCTCGCTTTTATCAATGTCTCTGCTAAGTGCAGTTATGGGGTAATGGTGGTGTCGTGGTTAGAGCGTTGGAATAGGATCTGGGATACTCAGGTTCGAGTCCCCACTTTGCCCATGGAAGCTCACTGGGTCACGCTGGGCCGGTCAGCTGCTCTCAGCCTAACCTACCTCACAGGATTGTTGTGAAGATAAAATGGAGGAGAGGAGAATGACATTGTTTTGGGTTCCCCTTGAGGGGAAAGGCAGGGTAGAAACGGGAGCAAATAAAATAAAACTTCAGCCCCACAGCATAAGCAAGGCTCCTCCCCTTTTTAAAAAACCACAGTGGCTCCCCGACCTGGATAGCCCAGGCAACCCCGATCTCGGAAGCTAAGGAGGGCCGACTCTGGCAAGTACTTGGGTGGGAGACCTCCAAGGAATACCAGCAGTCGGGAGGCGGGGGCAGGCTTGATTCAGCCACCTCTCTGAATATCCTCCAGGCCCCCAGTAGGGGTCACTCGCCAGAGGTCGCCTTGACTTCCAGGTGCACACAACCACAGGCACATATTTTTCTTTAAAAAATGCAAAAAAATAACAAAAATGGTGGTAAAATCTATCCCGATTCACTTCCAGTGACCCCAGTAAGAATGAGTGTAAGTTTTGGACGGCAGCCATTTTGGTCTGCCGTAGAAAACTTGGATTTGAGTCCAGTCGCACCTTCGAGACGAGCGAGTGTTTCAGGGTATAAGCTTGAGAGGAGCTCTACTAGTGTCTGACGAAGAGAGCATTGGCTCTCGAAAGCTGACTCCCTGAAACTCTCGTTGATCTGATCTCTAAGGTGCGACTGGACTCAAATCTAACCGTGAGTGTCCGGTAACTGTTTAAGGTGGGCGCTGCGCCAGAACACTTTCCGCCACACTGTGGATGAAGAAAGGAACACAAAGGCGCACAGGTACTTCCTTTGGAGGTGCTGCCACTGTCCACGCCACTTGGCTACCACCAGTGAGAGAGGACTTTGGGGTCTGAAGCATGGCTTTGATGCAGAGAGTGGGAATATTGGAGCGTCACACGCTTCTTGGTTTCCAGTTTGACTTGGGAAAACCATTGATCTCTGCTTGCCAGCTGCGTATGGCTGTAGTTGGTGGTACAGCAGCCATGAAATTAAATTCCTTGGGAGGAAAGCGATGGCGAACCTAAACAGCATGATAAAAAGTAGAGACATCACCCTGCCAACAAAAGTCCGCATGGTCAAAGCAATGGTATTCCCAGTAGTCATGTAGGGCTGCGAGAGTCGGACTATAAGGAAGGCCGAGCGCCGAAGAATAGATTCTTTTGAACTACGGTGCTGGAGAAGACTCTTGAGAGTCCCTTGGACTGCAAGGAGATCAAATCAGTCAATCCTAAAAGAAATCAACCCTGACTGTTCCCTGGAAGGCCAGATAATGAAACTGAAGCTCAAATACTTTGGCCACCCAATGAGAAGGGAGCACTCCCTGGAGAAGACCCTGATGCTGGAAAAGATCGAAGGTCAAAGAAGACGGGAACGGCAAAGGATGAGATGGTTAGACAGTGTCATAGATGCAACGAACATGAAATTGAGCCAACTTCAGAGGACGGCGGAAGACAGGAAGGCCTGGCGTGATCTGGTCCATGGGGTCGCGAAGAGTCGGACTCGACTGTGCGACTGAACAACAACAAACTTTACGATTGAGCACTGGTAACACAATGGATATGCCAATAAGCATTAAGCTTGGTCTCTCTCAAGCACCCGCACACGTCCTGGAAGCTGCAGCTGGTGCAAAATGCCGTGGCCAGGCTGCTGACGGGACTCCCAATTCGGGAGCACATCCAGCCTGTGCCAAAGACATTGCACTGGCTGCCAATAGCATATCGGGTTCGCTTCAAGGTGCTGGTTCTTACCTTTAAAGGCCTTTATGGCCAGGGACCTACACACGGTACCTGAGGGACTGCCTTTCCACCTTTCTCTGCGATCAGGGACCCAGAACCGGCTGCCTCTCCTGAGCTTCAAGGAGGCCAGGCTGGTGACAACTAGGGCCAGGGCTTTTTCGTTGGCGGCTCCACTCTGGTGGAATGAGCTCCCAGAAGAGACCAGGGCCCCGAGGGGCCTTTCACAGTTCCGCAGGGCCTGTGAAACGGAGCTCTTCCGCCAGGCCATTGGAGCCGCCGCCACCACTCGTACCACCACTACTACTACCACCACTACCAACAGTTGATATCTTATGTTGGTAGAGCCCTGATCCGCTGGATCCCTTAATTACTGCCTGAGCTAATCGCCCTAGACAGCTGAAGAAGATCAAAGAGCTGACTGTAAAATGAGGAATTAAATTTGCTAGCACTTTATTATGTTTGGTTTTAACGTTGTACTATACTGCGGTGGCTCAAGTGGTTAAGACGCTGAACTGCAGGCTGTGGAAGGTCGGTAGCTCAGCAGTTCAAGACCTGAGTTGCCGCATGACGGAGTGAGCTCCCGACTCTAGTTCCAGCTCCTGCCAACCTAGCAGTTCGAAAGCAAGACATTGCAAGTAGATAAATAGGTACCACTTTGGTGGGGAGGGAACAGCGGTCCATGCGCCTTGGTGTTCAGTCATGCCGGCCACATGACCACGGAAACGTCTTCGGACAGCGCTGGCTCTTCAGCTTTGAAACGGAGATGAGCACCGCAACCCTAGAGTCGGACTTGACTGGCTTTCTAGCAAGGGAACCTTTACCTTTATACTAATTGATGCTGTGATTTTATGTACATTGTTGGGATTTTATTCTCTCTTTGTTAGCCGCCCTGAGAAAACAAACAAATGTGTCCGTGTTACAAACCTCGGGACCAGTTCCCCACCAGCACTCGTGGCTCCCCAAAGAAGGCAGCCAGGGATGCAACAGGTTGGAAATAAAGCACTGTAGGAAACGTACTGAGGCTCTCTGGTTTTCCCCTCCCGTACAGATTACGGCGGAACCAGCCCGACGCCACCAGCAGGCGCACCCTGACCCAGTGGTTCTGCCGGCTTCACAACGAAGTGAACCAGAAGCTGGGGAAGCCCGAGTTCGACTGCTCCCTCGTAGACGAGCGCTGGCGAGACGGCTGGAAAGACGGGTCCTGCGATTAGAGGACCCCGCGGGTCCTGCGATTAGAGGACCCCGCGGGTCCTGCGATTAGAGGACCCCGCGGGTAGTAAAACGGGACTCTCTTTTTAATAATAAAAAAAGGAAAACTCACGCCAACGAGGAACAGAATCAGTCCTGGGAGAGGGGTGCTTGTCGAGGCGTCCCTGAGTGTGCTTTTTGGACGGGGATCGGCAGGGAGGTTTCTCCGAGGCGTGTCTCTCCCCTCCTGCCCAGTGAGAACCTGCCATTTTGATCGGAAGCTTTTATCCACCGGCTTTCCGCTCGTGACCAGGAGTGTCTTCTGACTCTGTATCTTTTTCAGTCACCATCCAGGGCTGCCTTAAGAGCCTAGGCAGTTTCTCAGGCTTGCGGGAGGGTGGGGACAGCTCCTGCTCTGGGCTGAGTAATCCTTTCAAAGGCCTGGTTGCCAGTTCTCTGTGCCTTCCTCCCCCCCCCCCGTAGGACTGATAACTTTCCCTTCCTTTTGTTCCCAAGGACTGCCTGATCAGTCGCCCCGCCTTCATTCCCATTTCTTCCCCTGATCTTCGTAACCTGGAACACTCTTTTTAAAAAAATCATGTTCTCAGAGGTTAGACAGCAGTAATTGAATTGCGCTGGAACGGGTCCTTCCGGGACCTCTGTGGGGGTTGGGTTTTTTCCACGCCATGCCTCCCCCCACCCCCAAATGGGTAACGTATTGTACTGACACCAGAATGTATGCGATTGTAGTGTTTTCGGTCATTCCTCTTGCTTGCTGAAATCCGGAGGGGGAAGGAAGATGGAATCATTTAATTGCGGGATCCGGGTCCCTCATTTCAACCGTTCAGATGTTATCCTTTGTGTTCCTCTCTCTGGTCAAGAGGGGTAGGTCCTAAATGAATCATGAAATAAGCGCAGGGATGATTATGTATGCTCATGTACTGTGTTGAAAACAGGAAGGAGAAATCCATGAAGGTTATATTTGTTCCGGGACTGTTGTGCACCGAGGTCCTCAGTATCTGTGCGAGAGGTTCTAATAGGTGATAGTCATGTTCACCTCGCTGTGTCGTGTGAAAATCCTGCTGGCGTGGCCGGGCCAGGGGGCCAGAAGATACTGGCCGGAGAGAACCACACCCGTCTCCTATATCCTCCTGAAGAATTGTGGATTGAGAGAGATCTCGGGCCACCGACCTGTGAAAAAGCAGGAGGTAACATTTCCCCCCGTAATACTAGTGGATCGCACGGCATCAGTACAGCTGTGGTGTAAATATGGGGCTAACTTTGGTCCCAAGCAACGTCACCGTAAGAGGCGATTATATGAAGACTGTAAATGAAGTTAGCCCAGCTAGTCCGGCTGTTAGATTTGTTACAGAAATGCGAGGGGTTTCTGAGTATCACAAGCGGAAACACACACACACCCGCCGGTCCTAGCTGGGGAGTCCTCTTTGATTCCCCCACTAGAATAATTTGCCCACGTTTCTCCCGTGCGTTCGGTCTCCATGGTGTCTGTTGGTTTATTCCTTTTGTGGGCTGTTCTAACCGCCCTGATATACGAGAGGATTGGGAACCCTCAGGCAAGGGCCTGATAACGCCACACGGTCTGTTGCAGAAGCTGTCGAAAGCGGGGCACAAAAGGCGGTGGACGGAAACAAAGCGTTTTCGAACGGCTTAGTGTGATTGTGGTTTGTTTGTTTTTTGTTGTTAACGCATTTCAGTTTATTAGCAAGGGTGTTGTTTGTTCAGTCACAATTAAACGGCGGCTGTGAAGCGTGTCTGAAAACACATCTCTTTCCTGTCTGGTGACCGAACAATAAAGTCTAACTTTTTCGTTTTATCTGCTGCTTCTTTTTTAAACGACGCAGTAGGATGATTGGCCCCAGTCGCCTGGTGTGTGTTGGGAACAGATGATAGACCTCTTCCCAGGCCAGCTTAGCATAACATTTTAGGGCACTTACTAAGGTTGGAGAGAAACGGAGGCACTGAATTATTTATCTAAAAGGTTTATTAGCTGCCTTCTTGCATTATGGAATTCCAAGCAGCTTGCAAGGTAAACAAAATAACCATAAAAATGTTTTTTTTTTGTAAAAAGCACAATTTAAGAAGAAGAGAAGAGATTGGATTTATACCCCGCCCTTCACTACCCAAGTGAGACTCAGAGTGGCTTACAGTCTCCTTTCCCTTTCCCTCCCCACAACAGACACCCTGTGAGGTAGGGGGGGCTGAGAGAGCTCTGACAGAAACGGCTCTTTTTCAAGAACAGCTCTTATCAGAACTACGGCTTGCCCAAGGTCATCCAGCCAGGTGCAAGTGGAGGAGTGGGGAATCAAACCAGGTTCTCCCAGATTAGAGTCCGCGCACTTAACCACTGCACCAAACTGGCTTTAAAATCACAACCAAAGGCAGCCAATACATAGAAAAACTAGATTAATGAAATGCCATCTGAAATAAAGCCATCTTCTGCTGCCTCCGAAAGATCCAAAATGATGGGGCCAGGCGCACCTCCCTGGGGGAGGGGTGTTCTTGCGTACTTGTGGGGCTTCCCCCAAAAAGGCCCTCCCTCGTGTGAACACCGGACGAGCGTCTTTGTTTGATGGGATGATCCGGAAGGCCTTGCCCCGTGATCTTAATTCCTGGGCAGGAACTTTACAGGGCTTTAAAGGTCAAAACCAACACCAATTAACAAGTTTGCTAGAAAACTTGGTGTAGTGGTTAAGTGTGCAGACTCTAATCTGGGATAACCGGGTTTGATTCCCCACTCCTCCACTTGCACCTGCAGGATGACCTTGGGCAAGCCATAGTTCTGTCAGAGCTGTCCTTGAAAAAGAGCAGTTTCTGTCAGAGCTCTCTCAGCCCCACCTACCTCACAGGGTGTCTGTTGTGGGGAGGGTAAGGGAAAGGAGTTTGTAAGCCGCTCTGAGACTCCCTTGGGTAGTGAAGGGGGGGGTATAAATCCAATCTCCTCTTCCTCCTCCTCCTCCTCTCAATGCGTGCCCAAAGTAAGGTGACGGGAAAACCGGTGAAGCAAAGGCAACACACAACCTTTAAAAAACCCCGCTGCTTTGGCCAGTGTTCCCTCTAAGCTGAATTTGTGCCCAAAGTGAGGTGACGGGAAAACCGGTGAAACAAAGGCAACCCACAACCTTTGAAAAACTCCACTGCTTTGGCTATGAGTGACCTGACCCTCGGCTGCTTGTGGGTTGCGCTTGTAGGCCTCGGCATCTTCCTTGGGACCTCCACCCAGCACAGGCAGTAGGCTGGCGCTTAGTTGAGAAAGTGGCGTCGGATGCCTTCGTTTTTGTGACCTCTCGAGCTATCGGCTGAACGCCCAAGCGGCTATGGAATGTTCACAAACATTCCAACTACGCAGAATGGCGTTCTCTCCGTGTATCCCTGCATGCCTCCACCAATAAAGCAACGAGACCCAGTCTCTTACCTTCCACGCACAGGCTTGACCTGACCCTCGGCTGCTTGTGGGTTGCGCTTGTAGTCCTCGGCATCTTCCTTGGGACCTCCACCCAGCACAGGCAGAAGGCTGGCGCTTAGTTGAGAAAGTGGCGTCGGATGGGTGCAGGGAGGGGGTGCAGCTAGAGTGAGCGCTGCTGTCTTGGTAAGCGAGTGAGCCATGCAAGCAGCCAAAGCCGTTCCCGCTGCTGTCTGCCTGTTCCGTCGGAAAGGCCCAAGTACTGTCAAGGGTCTTACACCTGGAAGGCATCTTCAAGGCCATCGAGTCCGACCCCCTCCTCCGTGCAGGAAGTCCAGCGCTTGAGCATCTTCACCTCTGGTGTTCCCGCTGCAAACTCTGTACCTACCCCTTGTCTATAGGAGACAGTTCCTGCCCACGGCCTCACTGCAGTCTCAGCTTGCAGCTTCTCTTTGGGAGTGGGTTGTTTCCAGCAGGGCAGCAACGTCAGGGTTGTTCTCCGGCATCTCAGCTTCTCAGGTAGGTCCCGCTCGCAGGGTGTGGGAGGATAATTCAGCCGGTACCTCGTTTCCCAGAATGCAGAGGTGAGGGGGGAGGCGTTCTATGTTCAGGGGCGATTGGAGGTCTGCCTAGAGGTCTCTGCTCTTTGGGCCAGCCAAAGAGAGACTCCATTCACGTGGCAACAATCTATGGAAGAAGAGGAGGAGGAGGAGATAGGATTTATACCCCATCCCTCACTACCCAAAGGAGTCTCAGAGCGGCTTACAATCTCCTTCCCCTCCCCACAACAGACACCCTGGGAGGTAGGTGGGGCTGAGAGAGCTCTTTCGAGGATTGCCCTAGAGTACTATAAACCTGTTATTGCTTGCGTTCTGCCCCATACAGCTGTTTTGGGGGCTTAACAGTTTCGTGGGGAGAGAGCCTGGCTTCTTCCGTCCAGTGCACGTGATGTAAGCATATTGGCTAAATTTTTAGAAATGGTTTTAATAAGTTAATAATAAGAATAAGAATAAGGGTGCGTGCCCTCTGGGCGCTCTTCCCATAGCCGACAACCCATTCAAATGAGCCAGTGTGGTTCCCGAGTGTCAGATGAGCATCGGGGAGAGCCAGGTTTGAATCCCTGCTCGTGCGATGGAAGCTCGCCGGGCAATCTGGGGCCAGTCTCTGCCTAACCTACCTCACAGGGTTATTGTGAGGGTAAAATGGAGGCGAGGAAAATGACGTAAGCTGCTTTGGGTTTAAAAAGTTACGAAGGCTCTTAATTCCATTCAGTTTGAGTTCAGTTTCCCGCCACCCATTTTTTTTGTTTTCAGCCGCTTTGGGTCCCCATTGTGGAGGAGGGCGGGGGTATACATGAAGTAAAGAAATAAATCTAGTCTGGTGTATTTATTTATTTGACTTTATCAGTGCCCCATTTCAGCACCTCGGACTCCAAGCAGCTAAGAAGCCACCAAAAAAAAAAGCCCAGTAAGGACCCAAAGACATCAGCGTCTAGTGCGCGCACACACCTGCCCAAATAGTTTGCCTTCCATCCAAGGCCTCCCAGAATAAACCTGTCTTGCATGCCGGAGGCAGAGCCACACACACCGAGGAAGCCTGGATGCTGGGGAGAAGAGAGGTATTTTTAAAAACACCCTGGGAAAGAAGAGATAAGCCCTCCTTCCTGAGCTAGGACAGAAATGTGTGAGTCGGAGGCTAAAAAACTGTGAGCTAGCTCACACTAACTCAGCTTAGAGGGAACACTGGTGGCGGCTACAAGCATGGACGGCTTCAAAAGGGAATTAGATAGGCATATGGAGCAGAGGTCCATCAGTGGCTATTAGCCACAAGGTATAGATAGGGACTCTGGGGCAAGTGATGCTCTGTCATCTTGGTGCTTGGGGGGGTCAACAGTGGGATGGCTTCTAATGTCCTGGCCCCACTGGTGGACCTCCTGATGGCACCTGGTATTTCTGGCCACTGTGATACAGAGTG